GAATGGAAAAAGCCACGTTAATAGTTGAAATTTTTTAAAACTTTTGAGATAATAAATACAGAAACCTAGGAGACGGAAAGCTCAACACAAACATAACAATTTCACAAGCAGCTGTTAAAGTAATTCATCCCCAAAGTTGTGTATTTTAGAAAAAAATCCTTACTGATCACTTGAAAATAGTTACAGCAGAATTAATGTATATTTTTGTACTTTTTGGTACTTCCAAATACGATAATATTGACCATTATCAGAAACAGAGCGCAAAAGATCAAAGATGCCAAAGCAAGAATGAAACATACCCAGGAAGATAACGGCCCTCACAGTGTGCTTTCTTGTGAGCAAAAGAATATACAACATAAATGCCAGAAGCCAGCTTAGAACTGCAGGTATTTAGAACAGCATTTTTAGCTCTAAGTTCACATTAAGTTAGATTACAACTCGTTCCTTATTCACCTTTGATTTCCTTTTCCTGTTCCTCTACTCGTGAGCACACTGTTCTGGTAAGACCTTCAACAATGGTATGCATGAAGTTGAAGTCCGCAACGTTGTAGACGTGTGTGCTGTCAGGTTCAGAGGCAATCTCTTTGAGTTCATTTATATCTGCATTCTTTACACCTTTCATTGAAAAGAAAAATGAAGAAAATAATTGCAACAAAAAAGAAAAAAACCTACGTACAGGGATTGATAGAAAATTACTAAAACCCAATTATTTCTATCTGTTTTAATGGCTAACTTCAGATGTCTCTGTTGTTGAGGTGTTATTTCAAGATGCTAATTTCAGCATAACTGGCATTTTTTCAGCTGTCTCCTGATACTGTAGCAGGCATATATACAGTCAAATTCCAGTTACAGCAGCAATGAATTGGAGAACATATTAAAGAAGTGTTAAATTAATGATATTTACCATATACACAAGAAAGAACACTTCATTAATATAGAGGGCAACAGATACAAATACACCAGAGCATAAGGTGACAATACATGGATGTGGCATAATACACACCAATAGCAAACAGCTCAATGCCAGCATCTCGTAGGTTTTTAGCAGGAGGGATGACATCATCTTGGGATTTTCCATCAGTGATCAGTATACCGATTTTAGACACTCCAGGTCTTGCACCCGCTTCAGGCTTAAAGCTGTTTTCCAAAATGTAAGTTAAGGCAAGACCTAAAAAAGGAAAAAAATTAAAAGACCTTTAAGAGGGAAAAATGTCCATTAATTCTGCAACATCACAGTGTTTATCTCTCCACTCAATTTAAACATTCTGAGAAAGTTTTTAATGAAGAATAAGTATATAAAAAAATTATTTGCTAAAAGAATAAATTCCAACAAGCAGCCTAAACTATAGAGAAGGTGACATTGATCTTTAGCAGCCTTTTGATCAGTCAATGTATTTTAAACTGGCCATAGAAACCTAAACTGATCTTCATGTGAATGCACCGTCTTTTGTTTCTTACACTACAAAGTCAGAGTAGGAAGTTCCCACTCCTGCGACCTACACTGCTTTTTTGAAAGCAAATCCTCTGGATAGCTTAGTAAATCCCCATGCTGCATACAATCTTGCTTTAATTTGTTAGTCTGCCTGTTCTGCCCAATTTATGAACTGAATAAAACATTAAATAAAGCTCAGTGAGAATCTGATTTTAATAAATGTTAATTACTTAAAGGGAAGAACAGCAACCCCTCAGGACAAACTTGCATGTCACAATGAAATCCTATCTGACAATTCTCTTAAGTCTTCCACGGCAAAAGTTCCTAAGTCACCTTCCTCTAATATTCATATAAAATAATCATGACACTTTACTACTTGCTACCTCACAGTAATCTCATTCCTAGAATTTCAGTACAGTCCTTCTGTCCTTTTTCCCACTGCAACCACTTCTTCTGCCAAAATAAAGGCTGTTGCAGAAGAGAAGGAGAATCTTGCATATTCTTTCTCTGCTTCCCTCTCCATCGAAAGCAAAAATAATTAAATAGGCAGGCAGCACTTTACTTAAGGCCATGACTCTGTGGGTCTTCGGATGCGTCATTCTCCTGGCAAGACAGCCAATATTACTAACTGCTGCTTTGATGATACTAGAATTGTATTCGCTGGCAGTATTTTTCCCAGGCTGAGAGGCATCCCCCATTTATCCATCACCAAGTGTCTTCTGAGGCTTCAGTGCTCAAACTGCTAAAAGGTCAACGGAAATCTAAAAACCCCAGGTGATCATCTGAAAAGTTACTATTGCCAGTTATCAGATATTAAAGCAACATTCTTTCCTTCTCCAGAATAATCTCTGTGCATGAACATTATGAATGGATTTTATATTTTCTTCCTAGAAAGATCTTACTTCCAGCAGGGAGAGTTCATGTTTTATGAGACCCTGTCCTGACCAGAACAATTCCCAGTGAAGCCAGTAAGACAAGCACTTCAGGAAAGACTTTGCTGACATTGGATAAAGCCATCAGCAAGCTGCAAAAACCTTATCCTTTCTACCTTTCACGATGCGCACTAACACTTCTTAGTCTGCGCAGCAGAATATGGTTGTTAATAAAAGGCAAAAGTTAAAACACACACTGTACCTGTTAATGTATTCCCTCCCTTATATGGCAGATTACGGACTGCATCCAAAACCGCATCTTTTGTACCATAGGCATTCAAATGCCATTCAATTCGGGGATCACCGCTGTACTGTGCAAGACCTAAAAAACCAGAAATTAAGGAATTCCATCAGACAATACTTTTTCAAGTACCAAGTATACTGTATGCACTTGGTTACTAATAGCTTTACCATAGTAAACTTACTGTGAGTAACTTTGCCACCATATTAGAAAGATCACATTGCTTGATGGCAAAGAAATAGTATAAAGTTATTCTTAGTGGCAACTTCTCAATTTATTTCCAAAGTCTTTCTTTCAAGTGCTAAGGAAAGTAAATGAGAAGGAGCATGTAACTTTTTCAGAGTTTATGAAGATTCCAAGAAATAGTTTTTTGAACAATTCTACTTAATATGCTTTTTGGACAGAGTAAAATATAAGTAGCAGAACAGAAACAGAACATCTGAGCCAGTTTAAATCTTGAAAAAAGCCATCTACTGGCACATTCTTCCTCTGCAAATTAAACTGCAAGGGTTTGATCTACTGCTGACTGAAGTCAGTAAGACTGCTTCCATTGTTTTTTCTTTTTCACTGACATTGCATTAGAGTTTACCTACGCTGAGTATCACAGTAAATTAATATTACAAACATCCCAGCAGAATTGCTCTTATGCTAGAAGTGCTAATTCCAGGTGAGGATGACTCTTCCACAGATAAGTAGCATTAAGGTGTTAACTAACCTGAAATCATGAATTTTTATGTTGCTACAGAAATATTAAGCAAAAGAAATATGGCACCTTACCTACTCTTGTTTTCTCAGATCCCACATTGAAAGCAGAAACCAGATTTTCCAGGAACAGTCGAACAAGTCTGAAATTGAATCTACCAATACTCCAAGAACCATCTACCAATATCACAATATCTGCAATTGCAGGAGTCTTGCAGGTGAACAGGCTTCCTGTAAATCATTAAAATGAAAACAATATTGTTAATTCAACGATAAATTTGTAACTCAATAAATGTATATCTTCCTCCTCTCACTGTACTTAGCACACTCTTCCAAAGTTACTTTTAGAAGGTCCATGAACAAGAAATCCAGCTTCTGGAAGTACAATTCTTCAGAAAGAAAAAAATAACAGAAATTGAAAAAGTAACTCCTGTACAACACAATCAAACCAGCAGTTGGTTTTCATTCTCAAGAAAAGAAATACAGAGTATACAGTTCAGGACTCTTAACCTTAGGTATAGACGATGAAGAGGGAGCTACCTAGAAATGCAGACATTCAAAACAATTATCATGACCCCTTTTACAGTCAACATAGAAAAGCAGATGTTTCAATACATCCCAAGAGCTCTGTAGAAAAACCTCTTGAGCTGCAGACTTCTAAAGTTAGAAGTGAATCTCTCTCTGGGAGTCTAGAGTAAAACTGAAGGTCAGTTAAATATGCTGTATTAAACCTCAGTAGGAGACACTCAATACACCAAAAGTAAAATATAAAAGTGTCAGATTCAAACTCATATCTGTATGAGAACGAGCACCACATGAACACTTAATATTACAAACATATGCAAAAGTAGACAAAAATAAAAGAGCATTCAGAGACCAACAGAAGAGACCTGATGAGAATTAGCAGGGATGCATATTCAGGGTCTCTAATGTTTAGCTAAGCAATGACAAAATCGGAGGAAATGGGAACAGAGACACAAACTGCAAGATAAGCCAACAAGAATGTTTATAGAGACACAGATTCTTAAGAAATCGAGAAGCCTAAACAGAAGTACTACATTCAGTTCGAGAAAACAACAGGAAGGAAAGAAAGAGAAAGGAAGAGGTTTCCACAATCTCAGACAGAATTGCCACTTCCCACAGAGTGGTTGCGTGACTGTAAAAGTGAAGTTGCTGAAATAGTGGATTCACATTGTAGGGAGGGAAAACAAATGAGTTATGTTACACAGATACACCAAACAAGAGCTTATGTCTGAAGAATAAAACCAGCAAAGAATGGAAGTAGGACAGTCAAAGCAAAACACGTGAGCAAAAAAAGGTATCACGCATCACAGACCAATTAGGGAAGAAAATCTTGTCCCCGAATACTGTAAAAAAACTTCAGATTAGTGAAGTAAGCTGCAGCTCAACTTTTATCGTCCATTTTTTTCAGGATCCACTACATGCATTAGTTCACAAAGGATACCAACATCTAAGCTGGTACTGACACTAATCATCAAGTACACTGTTAGAAGTAAACTGCATTAGCTCACAAGCAGCTCTCCTGTTACAGAGACGGAATAAACCACAGAGTTAGCAAGTTAAACCTTTAACACCATATTACTAACGACAATCTTCTCTAAAGACAAAATGATAGTCTTATAGGCAAAAACAATCTGATGTGCAGAAGGACTTCAAACAATTGGTAGTAATTAACAGGTTCATACTGTAGTGTAAATCCACTGACTGAGAAACCCAATCCATAAAGTTACAGTTAACGTCTTAAACGTGCACTAAAAACGTTTTTAGAAGAGTGGGGAACATTTCCTACGTGCAGCTAGCAGTGTAGAATAAGTTCTGAACATATGACAAAAATTCCACTTACAAAGATGCCAAAACAAATATTTTATTTTAGTTTTTACAGTACAAGACAATGCTATTTGAATTGGCAACACATTTTAATGCATAAACACTAGGGAACATTTAGTAAGCATCAGAAAAATGAGCTTAAATTAGAAGATTAATCCAAAGGAAGTCCAAATCTTTGTATCATTGAAGTCAACGGGAAAACTTCCCCTGATTTCAGCACAACTGGAATCTGTTTTGTGATTTCATAGGAACTTACTGCTCGTGGCAAAAAATCGTGGTTTATATATCTTTGCCAAATAAACTTTCTGTTAATCAGTCTGCCTTACTTGCAGTGTGTGTCTTCCATTAACACGCAGTTCAACAGTGCCATTCTCACACCAGTCATGATGAGCTTCTTAAGGTTCAAAAAGAACTACTGGCAAAGTAAAACACTGCTCAACACCTGTAAGAATGATAGGACTGATTCCTGATTCACATCCAAGCAGCTGCACCATCGCTCAGATGTACCTTTTCAGTATGATCCCAGCAGCTTAATCACAGAGCCCAATGAGGATAACAGGATTTGTGTGGCTCTGTTTCCCTTCTTTAATTCTAAAATCTTACACTTATTGTGAAGACCAGTTAGTACGCTAGGTCTTACTCACTTCATATCAACAACTTTTGCCTACAGGGCTTCTTTAATCCTTTAGTGATGGCTTTGTGAATAAAACCTTTCATTGGTTTTAGTAAACCCAGTCAGCGAAGCAAAACCCAGAGAATAAAGCAAACAATAACAGCATTCCTTTCAACATTTTATTTCCACATCAGCAGATCAGCGCAAATAGTATCATTCAATTATTTGGGTTTTTTGTTAAAAAAGCCTGTGTGGTTTGATCCAAGATTGTACTGCAATGTCACAGAATGTGAAAATTTGATTCATTCTTCGTCGATAGGAGATACTTGTTGAATGTTTTCTGCATAAAACATTTAGGTTTTGTTACTTCTGTACACCCACTATTTGTTTATGTTTTCTCCTTGTTGTGCTTAATAGAATTGTAGAAAGTTCCCTAAAATGGAATAAACAACAGTGAGACATTAAACAGAATAACATGCTGTATAGAATTCTTTAAATCCTCTTAGGAATACAACCACCACATCATCCTAGTTTATAAAGTTAGTCTAAAAGACACAACGTGAAGTAAAAAATTTATGCACCCCACTGAGATTAGCTAGTTTCCATTACCAGTTCTAGCAAATGTCTTTTTCAATAATTTTTCCACACCACCATACATGGCCATGAATTCCTATCGGGTTTGAGGATAATTTCAAACATTTCAACTAACTAAATGTTAACTTAAATAGGCAATTTTCTCAAAAACATTTCTTAAAGGAGAACAACAGCATATAATTCCATATTAAAAAAAAAAGCTTCCAATACTCAGTGTTTTAGCCCATTACAAGTTTCAATACTGTGATCAGGTTGTGCGTACTTTCCTTTTACTCAGTCTTCAAGAAAATGGTAGTGAAAGAGAAGGTATCATTTGCCACTGAATTATACAATACTCACCAGGTCTGAGAGCAGGACAGTAGGGAGGAGACCAGTTACCTAATTTTGTATAATGTTTCCCAATGTTATATAGATAGCACTATCCTACCTCAAGCGCTGCATTCCAAAACAAGTGATAACAGAGTCTGAGCTTTTTAGGTTAGAGAAAATTACAGAATTGAAAACAACCTGAAGTCAGAAAAAGAGCTTATATATTTTACACCAGCAACCACCCTCAGTACATCCACCCACAGTGAGTGGAGGAGGCTGATGTGGAGAAAGTAAAAACATTAATGGACATCCTATAGCAAATTCACCATCTTCCTAGTGTTATTTGGCAGAAGGAACCTGCCATTCTGCCAGGAAACTAACTGAGGAGCAGACGCTTGGTCTGCTCACTTCGGCATGTCACAAAAGAAGGCAAAGGCTCCAAATTTCACCTCCAAAGAGAGCAGTGTACAACTACAGGCCATCAGCCATGTATTAGGACAAGATACTTGCACAAAACCTGCTTTGGTATTGCCAACAGTCGTATGATCATCGAGAATTTCAGTTTCTTTGTTTCAGGGAAATCTTTCAAAGAACAACCAGCATTGAAGGAATTTTGCATCCACCAACTGATGTTTCCTGCCTTTGCTCCCTCAAGCCCCCAGACACTGAAGGCAATGCATTTGCTTGCAATTCCAACGTGTAAATGCTGTAACATTATTGAGACCCATGTCAGAGCTTGGCTGAGAGTGAAGTCAGTGATGGCAACACTGAAAAACAAAAAAAAAAAGATCCAGCTAGGACTTTCCAGGATAGAGGGAGAGTTATTGGAGCCTGCAAAACATGACCCTTGAGACGTCCCACTGAAGGGAATGGAGTGCAGAGAGAGGACCGAAGCGGCTCTGGAAGAAATGGGGGACGACCAGAACAAAGCAGGGTCTGCAAACTTCTGTAAACACTGATGACCTCCCTGAGGCCACGTTTTCAACCTGTTGCTATTCTTTCACACATGCACTCAGCGAGCAAGTCGGCAATATTAAAAAGCAGAAGCCTGACCAAAAAAACTGTAAGCCATACTTAGACACAAACACAAAACTATGACATTTAAACTAGTGGGTTTTCGACTCCTGGAGTTAATACTATTACTCTTTTAAAGTTCTTTGAAAGGTAAAGGGAAAAGCAGCAAATACAGGTACTGCCACCCAGGAGGACTCCATGTCTTAGAAGAACCAGTTCAGTTTGCGTTCAGCTATGATAGATTTTGCAGAAAAAACATTTGATATTTTGTGTCGCCTTGGCATGAAACTTTTCTAATTTTCAAGAGCCAAAATACACACTTCTGCTAGAAGTTAAGATCATAATTCTAAGTCTGCAATATGTCCTTTCCTTTCTTACTCCCTGTCACAGTGGAAAAGTCAAATAATATATGTTGGAGAGTAAGAAAGTTCAAGTAGAGGTCGGTAATAATACAGTATGAATGGAAGACTCATTCAGAGGGTAACAAAGCACAAAATGCAAGAAGCTTGGTGACAGAAGTGAGTGAAAAATACTTTGTGAATAAAGCATGAATGACAGAGAAAAGTCAGTCCTCCCCAGTGATTGACAGCACCCCAGCTGAGCAGAGGCACCGCTGAGGACATGGGCAATATAAATCTACATCAAAAAAGTCACTTCTTTTTAAAAAAGGGTTAAAAAAATACAGGGACGTGAGGCAGTGTTCAGCTCCAAAAATCAGCAACTTGCTAGTCCACACTTCTGACATTGATACTATTGCACTGTGCTGGTGATATCATCATTGCATTTAGATCTCAGTTTAACACATCCCATATGTCAGGCTACGGACCAGACAAATGCATACAACATAACTGCTTTTCTTTGAACTAGATCCAACCACAGCTTGAATTTGAAGGACTCAAATGCTGGAACATCATTAGGTTAAAAGAGCAGCCCAACAAGGTTAGAAGTTTGTCCCTGCTCCCTAGAAAGAAAACAACAACAAAACAAAACAAAATAAAGCATCCAGCCCTTTCCCATGCACCTTGTTCTGTTCCAGGAAACTAAGAGAGCCCAACTGGCTGGCCTACAAATTTATTAGTTGGGGGACTTGAACTATTAAGATTTATTGATTCTGTTGTGTCTAATCATAGAAACATAATCACGTCACAATTCACTGTGAGTGCTGTAGTTCAACAATTTTGCTTCTTTCAAAAAGTACACAGCAATAAATAAATGCTATTTAAAGCATAGTTTTTGAATTTAAAGCCAAAAAACTAATTAAAGCAGTACCTGGTAAAACACATTAATCATCTACACATACTAACAATAATTCTCAAGAGTGAGAGAAGGAAGCACACAGATATTTTTTATGTACCTTTCCATACACACTCAATGATAGTTGTACGTCTGCAGTAGGCAGTCGCTACCTCAGAAAAACTTCTAGAACTTTCTTCCTACATCTTTACTTGTTAATTTACTTGAGGGATAGAATAAGTAAAAAAGGGAACTATGAATGGAAGTGCTGATGTTTTCTGGCAAGTCCATTGCTGATTGATAGCACTGAAGCACCTGAAGTCTGCAGCAGCTTCCCAAATAGCAACACTAAACTCTCTTGGTGTGCATACCTAGATAGAAGAATGTTTTAAAATCTCACTGCATTTAAACTGAGAGTTCAAAACACTTATTTTAATTTCTCTTCCAACAGGTAACATGTCAACACAGACCAAAGCACACTGCTGAAATCTTTCCAAAAACTGAAATTCTACATGGCAAGATACTGTGCCCATTCAGCCATAATGATTTACATTGAAGATAGTCCGCAACCCTTCTGTGAAGTACATGAAACTTAAGAAACTCTTCTGCAGTTTTCAGTGATAATTTCCTACTTCTCTTAAATCTCAGTCCTGCGTCTCAGTGCATGACTGTTTAAACGAAACAGCTGTCTCAAAGTCTAAATTACTTTTCAAGGCAGAGAACTATAATTTTTTATTAATATGGTCATGTTTATCCACCATTCCTATGTAACAAATACAACAGGATTTAAAAGGGTTATTTTTCCCTTCACTTTAGTGAAGCATGAAATCCCTGAGACAGACTTCTGGCTATCTAGAAGGCAGTTAATCAGAGGGCTGCAGACAAAACTGGCACTCAGAAATCCTCAACGTTAATTAAGCTGTATGTATAAATCCCTCCAAATCATGATAAAGAGCTGGACTGTGCCTGAGTGTGTAACTAAGTTACAGCTTTAACACAACAAGTAAAGTAACAGAAAAGAGCCTGCCTGAGAAAACATGCTGCAAATATATGGAAGTCATTGACACAGAATTAATTAAAAATTAGTGGAAGAAAAATGCAACAACACTGTTACATTACAGCTCAACATTATAGATACAGGCATATAAGATGATGTGGCCAGTGCATCCAGAAACCACAGAAAAAAAAGATGGTGCATTACAGTTACAATGCAGAAGACTTTCAAGACCTTACATTACCTTCAATCATTTCTTGAAATATTATCATAATGTAACCAATGTATATACTTGTATAAATATAAATACATGGTAATCTTCAGAAGCATCACTAATTTTGGATGTCACGTGTCAATCCACAAAAGCTCAGGGTGAAATTCGTGCCCTCTGAAATTCATCCATTGTCTAATTAGCACAGAGTGAACACTCTATTCTGACAAACTTCTGACTCCCAGAGAACCACGGAGTAGTGAAGGTGGGAAGGAAACTCTTGAGACTGCTCTGTCAAACTGACCAGCTCAAAGCAGGGGCAACTATAGCAGATTGCTCTGAGCCACGTACAGTCATGTTAAGGAGGATTGAGACTCCACAACCTGAGTAGCCTGCTCCAGTGTCTGACCACCCTCACAGTAAAAAAAGAAAAAGTGCTTTCTTTGATGAAATGGAATTTACAGTTATTTCAGTTTGTGTCCACTGCCTCTTGTTCTTTGATTGGACACCACTGAGAAGAGTCTGTCTCTGCCTTCTTTACTTCTTCTGATGTGTATTTTTACACATTGGAAAGATATCCCTTGAACCTGCTGTCCTCCAAGCCGAAAAGTCCAACCGTCCTATTTAAAAAGCTGAATCAAAAGATGATTTTGCCCCGCTTAGTCAGGTAGACTGCTCTTCCAAGCAGCTATCAAGCCTCAAAGCTGCTGACAGCAGCTGCAAAACTAGTTGTTGTCCTATAGGATCTGCTCATCCACCTTAAGCCCTTTCCTCTCATAAGTGAGATCAAGGAGAAAACTACCTGAGCACCCCTGCCCTTGGCTAGTGCCCCAAGAGCGACGTAGTTGATAGTCTGTCACCCAATGCAAAGAGACCCTGGCAACAGTTTCCACATATCTAGTTCCCAGTCTCTTAAAATGTGTGCTATCAATCAAAAGAAGACAAATATTTAAAACAAAAACAACAAAAAAAGTCTCCATCAGAGCTTTTGATTTTGTGGGGTTTTTTTCATTACATCTCAATGAGCGATTTAAAAGAAGAATCTCAAAAGTCTGTGCCACTGCACTGACCAGTGCACTAAGCAGTAATAAACACACCACAGCTATGTTTTCCTAAATGAGAATTTAAGATAACCTCTAATTTTCTTTTCCTCTAGTTCACAGACTTTAAAATTCCTCTCATCCACTAAAGTAATTACTCCCTACCATAAACAAATTACTAGATAGCCATGCTGCACATTTTTCTCCACAGGCAGATTACACCACTGTCCTCAAGCCTGCAATATTTCTTTTTGTCTGAGATTCCAGTC